TATGGACACAGCAAAACCCCACGATCCAGCTCAACCCTTTGATGGGCCTGCATCTGGAGGTGAGGATCAATATGATAAGATCGCTAAGGCAGTGGCAGCCTTATTATCTCCCACCATCACAGCTGCAATCGACAGAGCAGTAGCAGTAGGCATAGATCAGCTGAGGAGAGAGCTAGGTGGCCAGGCTTGGAGATTTAACAAGGAAGAGCAAATATTATCTGAAGTGGAATATGAGGTACGGTACACCAGTTTCAACTTACCACTCAGCAGAACAAGTAGACCCAACAATATCTACTTGAGAAAATAGATGATTTAGAAAATTGTTCCAGGAAGAACAATCTTAGAATAATTGGTCTTCCAGAATCCTATTGTCAGGAATGGACTCACCACTGGTGGTGGGACTCACCTGCCTGGTGGACTGCAGTACCTGTGCTGGCCAGTGGGTGCTCTCAGCAGCCAGAATCTCACTCCTGCAGTCAAGCCATCACCTGAGGCTGATTGCAGGAGGTGTATTTAAGCAGTACCAGGTCTGCAATCAGTGCCTTGGTATATTGTTCCCATGAGCCCCTGTGCCTGAACCTGATCCTGTCGTCTGCCTGCCTTCCTGATCCCTCTGCCTGACATTGATAGAACTCTGCCTGCACCGACCTTGGCTATTCCTGACCACTCTTCTGCCTGCTCCTTTGTACCTTGTCTGCCCGATCGTTCCTGACCTGGCCTGCCTGACCACTCCACCTCACCAGCCCTGACTTCTCTTGTCTGTGTGCTTGTACTTTCCGTTATCAGTTGGAGGTTTGGTTTTGTTTATATTGTGCATTTATATTTTTGTATAGCCTCTAATAAATTATATTGTCTACACCATACTTGAGCCTGTGTTTCCCTGTGTTAGCCCACACACCTCTGGTCATACCTGGAGCCCTGACACCTATAACTCATGGTCCCTAATGGATCTCTGTGCAAATCGTATTACAAAGGTACTGGGGATCCCTGATAGATGCATAGTAGAAAGTGCTCATTGCCTGGGTACTCCATCTAAGGAATGCAAAACACCAAGACCTGTCATAGCACATTTCCTGAATTATGCAGACATAGCAGCTATTATACAGTCTTTCTGCAAAACACGTTCTCTTCAAATGGATGGGTATACATTCTGATCTTTGCAGATTACTCAGTTGAAGTAGCGCGCAAAAGCAAATTGTTTCAACCCATTTGTGCAGCACTGTCTCAAATAAATGTCAGATTCACCCTGGCATATCCAACGGTCTTGCGTCTATATACCCCGAATGATGATTCGGGTGCTGCTGTTCTAGGTAGGCCTGGAGCTTAAGGCCTAACCATGTGCTTGATGCTCTGCCAGGGAGACCCTGTTTGTTATCTGGAAGTATGAAGGAAAGCATGGAGACGTGAGATGAAGTACAAGAAGTTACTCTGCCATTGACCGGGAAACTGTGGAGAGCCTGGGAAACCATCAAGATGACCTCATCCAGAGAATTCCTGCATTTCCTTGTGAGTTTTCTTTTTGTTGCTATGGGAGACAGCTGTTGCTACTAAAGTACAGATTGTTGGTTACAGCTTATAGGCTCTTTTCCTGCACTGCTATCTACCCCCTTTTCTTTTGTCCAAGGAGTCTTCTGGTCTGTCTGCCTACTGTCTAGGGGTGTCCTGTGACCTAACCCTCACTCTCTGAATTTTCTACTGTTGTGAGCAATAAACTCATTTTTGTTCATTCTAAAAGTGACTGGCCCCCATTTCTCTACATTGTCCACCACCCACCATGCCTAGCAACCTGCACCCTGAGGTGAAATGTCAGCCCCCCTGTCAATAGGGGTAATCACCAAGCTTCCAGAGGTCATAGGGGCGCTACACATGTCTTACTATTTTTGCACCCTTCCTTCTACTAAGGAGTCTAAGGCAGTCACCTCTTCAACCTACCCCTTGGCCTAGCCCTGCATAAACCATTATTGAACTGTGTATCCTATAAAACAGAGGATAACACACATATAGACTGGACATATGAAGTAGTAACTTTTGGTATCTGAACTTTACATAAGCATTATCTAATACAAGTCAAACTTTGCACTAATGGAACCATGGAAAACATGGCATGATTTATTACTGCTGCTTTCCAGCGTAGATGATCAGCAGAAGAAGCTGTAGTATTTGAAATTGATAAATAGAGCACTTTGTCTTCGGTGTGAACAGCATTACTGAACATTTTTAAAATGTCTTTGTGTTTCCATCAGCATTGCAGATAACCACATGTTCAGTTTATTGACTGCAAAACATCAATTGAAAGGCATTTATTAGCATTTCATATGACATTTTGCCCTTTATCGTCTAAGAGCTAGAACATCTTTTGCTTCACTTCCTTTTCTCAATTTTTGTAAAGAACTCTGGTCTAATTAAGAACCAGGATATTTTAAAATGAGATGCTACCCAAATGGAAGAGAAATATATTTCCAATATATCTCGAAAAAAATTATATATGTGACATTTATTTACAATATATTGGCCTACACTAATATATTTTAATATGTAGTCTATATTTTTTAAATATATTCTTCAGACTTTTTAACATATACAAAAGTCATTTTAACATATATTTTTACATATATTTGTAAATGCATTCCAAAAATGTAGAGTAAATATATTCTCAAAGACATGTATTTGAAAATTTATTTTTAAAAATATTTTTCATATATTTTTTAATATATAAAAAACGCATTTCAACGTACAGTATATATATATTGAAAGATATTTTTGAAATATATTGAATACGACCAAAATTGTAGTATTTCAAATATATGTCAATATATTTGGGAAGAATATTTTAAAAATATATATTTTCTTCCACGTGGGTAAAATCACTAATTATAACAAATGAAAGTGTTCTGTTAAATTAAAACTTGAAAATAAGCACTCCCTGTAAAGAAAAATTAATACTTACCTGTGCCACACTTTGCACTGCTAATCTTTACTCTGTTCAAGATTTAATGCCTGCTAAAGAATCTTCCACATCTGACACTTCTGTGTCCTGTAGTGATGTAGAGGTCAGTGAAGTGTACCACAAACCACAAAAGGGTTTAAGGCAGGCCATAGACGATGTGATTTTGCTCCTGCAACTTGGGGTTGCAGGAAGGAAAATTGCTTGATTCCCCCATAAACATAGTTAATGTTGATGGGGGAATCCTCCCGCAACATTATAGTGTTCAGCTGGCGGAGAGCCTTCCCTGCCGGCAAAACAAAATTACTGGTGGTGACTGGTGGCAGAAATGGCAAGCAAAAAAAATCCAACAGGCTGGTGGTTGTACTGAAGTCGATGGATGCATCGCATCTGTTCAGTGTTTGCATCCTTGCAGCAGACCCCATGTGTTCTCAAAGACTTATCTAATGATCCTAACTGCCTCCCAATCTCCATGAACACATGTTTCCAGTGTTTGTCCAACCTGTATCCAGCTCCTGTGTGTCTTAGTGGCCCAGCATTTTCCTGTGTTGTCAACTTTCTCCTGTGGCCCTCATGTCCCCAGTCTGTATCCTTCTACAGTTACCTGTATAAAAGAGTGATGATCTGCTTTCATTAACTCAGTTAAATAATTTTAACACTTTTGTTCACTTTCTTTGTAATGGGAAATTGGGTAATTTATACCCAGTACCTAACAATCTTGCTTACGTGTTGCCTACATCATAGTTTAGAAATAGCTAAGAACTGAATCCTGGCATTCTAGAGCGTGAATTCCTTTTCTTACTTTAGCTAACCTTATGCAAAGGCCTGTTATTTTTTTGTATAATAGGAAAACTTTCCATAGGAATAAATAGATTATCTACCACACATGAGCGTAAAAAAGAAGAGCCCAGCCAGGAGACTTCTGGCGGCTCTGTGGTGCAACATTTAAAGGATAACTGCACTAAAGTAAGAAAAGTGCTCATTTTTCTGTCACTGTTCCCAATGGAGAGATTTTATATCACTTTTTTTCCCTCTCAGCTCTATTCCCAGGATAGGACAGTGGGGTCACAAACAGCAGTAAAACGTGACCAAGGTTCTAACATTTCACAACTTTATCCAAAACTAAAAACAAATGTTTTGGCTGGAATTGTATAGAATTACATGCGGTATGTGGTTTGGTCATTATAGATAAAAATAGTGTTTAGTACAGTTGCTTAAAATGGTTCCATATGATTCCAAATTTTTTCTACTTCTTGCAATGGCTTATCTGTCATCTGAACAGGGACTTTTTTCAGCACATAGCATGGTTTTTTCAGGAAGACAAACAAATAAATTCATTATCCTTTTATCATATCACAGATGCATATTGTATAAAAGAAAATACACTACATTGCCAAAAGTATTGCCTTTACATGAACTTTATTGGCATCCTAGTCTTAGTCCGTAGGGTTCAATATTAAGTTGGCTCACCCTTTGCAGCTATAACAGCTTCAACTCTTCTGGGAAGGCTGTCCTCAAGGTTTAGGTATGTCTGTGGGAATGTTTGACCATTCTTCCAGAAGCACATTTGTGAGGTCAGGCATTGATGTCGGATGAGAAGGCCTGGCTCGCAGCCTCCGCTCTAATTCATCCCATAGGTGTTCTATCGGGTTGAGGTCAGCACTCTGTGCAGGTCAGTCAAGTTCCTCCACCCCAAACTTGCTCATCCATGTCTTTATGTACCTTGCTTTGTGCACTGGTGTGCAGTTATGTTGGAACAGGAAGGGGCCATCCCCAAACTGTTCCCACAAAGTTGGGAGCATGAAATTGTCCAAAATGTCTTGGTATGCTGATGCCATAAGAGTTCCCTTCACTGGAACTAAGAGACTAAGCCCAACCCCTGAAAAAAACAACCCCACACCATATTCCCCCATCCACCAAACTTTACACTTGGCACATGCAATCAGGCAAGTACTGTTCTCTTGGCAACCGCCAAACCCAGACTCATCCATCGGGATTGCCAAAAAGAGAAGCATGATTCGTCACTCCAAAGAACATGTCTCCACTGCGCTAGAGTCCAGTGGCGGCGTGCTTTACACCGCTGTATCTTTGCATTGCAGTTGGTGATGTAATGCTAGGATTCATGGCATTCTCTACACACTGTTGTTGTGCTCATCTGAAGGCCACACGAAGTTTGTAGGTCTTTAGCTATTGACTCTATTGCAAATAGTTGGCGACTGTGCCACTGTGCGTTTCAGCATGAGCTGACCCCGCTGTGTCATTTGACGTGGTCCACCACTTCGTGGCTGAGTTGCTGTTGTTCCCAGTTGCTTCCACTTTGTTATAATGCCACTAACATTTGACGGTGGAATATTTAGTAGCAAGAAAATTTTGTGGATGGACTTATTGCACAGGTGTCAACTTATCATGGTACCACATGTGAATTCACTGAGCTCCTGAGAGCAACCCATTCTTTCTCAAATCTTTGTAGAAGCAATTTGCATGCCTAGGTGCTTGATTTTATACACTTGAGGCCATAGAGGTGATTGGAACACCTGAATCCAATGATTTGGAGGGGTGTCCCAATATGTTTGGCAATATAGTGTATGTTGAAATGCAAATAATAAACTTTTTAGTCCTTATTTCTTTAAAAATTGCTTTCAAGTATGTTGGAATTTTTTTCAGTGGCATTTTACTCCAAGTGATAAATGGAATGTCAGGGGCATCTGTAATGCTCATCAGCAGTTATTCTCATGAGATCTGAGCGTGAGACCATGTAGAGTTTAGGTCTCATCTCCAATCATCCAGCCATTAACATATTTGCTATTTTTAAAGTGGCTAGATATAGATTACTGTGATAAGACTCTCTATAGTTATGTACAACATGGCAGCAGTGCTTATAGTTTTTAAGAAGGGGTCCTAAATGTAATTTTTTAAAAAACCTCCTAACTGTAAGTTTGTAGTTGTGGATCTCAATAACATATTGCTCCCAATAGGATCCTAGGGAATGGAAGGAATTTCTGTTTTTCTGTGGACCACAAAAACGTGAAAGAGTACAAACCCATAGTTTTACACTACTGGTTTATGGAACACTTGAATACATAGAGCAGAAATGGTTCATCTCAAGACAACCTATTTAGGTACCTGGGGAGCAATGGGTGTCCAAGGGTCTAGGTATTGTATAGCATTTTTGCATTTTTGCTCCTGTAGTTAGCCAGGGATTGCACAATTGATCTAAACTGTATACCTGCATGTCATTATAAAAGGGAGGATGCACTTATGAGGCAGTTGATGTCTGATGGGTTGGGTCATGCCACTATACACAATGCAAATTGATGGGCTTCTTTGTGCCAATTTCAGCCCTTATCAATGGCAGTTGATGGGTTGGGATGGGAGAGGGTGGTGAGCAAAGCCACTACCTTGCCTACGGCCCACTCTATCTTACATGTTTACCTTACTTTAAAGGTTAGTTTTAAGTTACAGTTGCCACCTTTGTTTAGCTTGCCGGAATTGGTGCAGACACACTGGAAGCCTTTAACCACTTATCCTCCTGAGGATTTACCCCCTTTCCTGACCAGTCCAGTTTTTGTGTTATGGCGCTGCGTTATTTTAACTTATAATTGCGCGGTCATACAACACTGCACCCAAATGAAATTTGCGTCCTTTTTTTCCCACAAATTGAGCTTTCTTTTGGTGGTATTTGATCGCCTGTGTGTTGTTATTTTTTGCACTATAAAAAAAGACTGACAATTTTGAAAAAAAAAAACAATATTTTGGACTTTTTGCTATTAAACATGTCCAATTAAAAAATTTAAAAAATCAAATTTAGTCATAAATTTAGGCCAAAATGTATTCTGTGACAGGACTTTGCTAAAAACCAATCCCAATACCTGTAAATTAATTGGTTTATGTGAAAGTTATAGAGTTTACAAACTGCAGTATAGATACTGGGATTTTTTTTTTTACTAGTTATGGTGGCGATCAGCGACTTGTAACGGGACTGTGGGACTGCGGTGGACATTCTGACACTGGGGGGAAACTAACTTGGTGTCACTGACATCCCCAGTGACACCAATACAGTGATCAGTGCTAAAAAAAAGCACTGACACTGTACTAGTGGCACTGGGCAGGAAGGGGTTAATATGAGGGGTGATAAAACTATACTATAATTATATGTAGGGAGTGTTTTAATAGAGGGCAGGGGGGGAGAGGGTGGTTCACTGTAAGCACACTGATTGGGATGGCTGTGCTGTGCACAGCCATCCTGAGCAGCGTGCCCGAGCTGACAGGGAGGAAGACTGTTTGTAAACAAAACAGTCTTCCTCCCTGTCGGAGTTGCTTGGTAATCACCGGGCGCAGGCGGGTAATTACCAGCCGGGGCCAGGTGATTGACAGCCGCGGCCACGAATGGAAATGCAAAATCATGTATATATACATGATTTTCTGCACCCGTGCTGCCCTGTAGCAGTATTTCTACTATAGGGTGGTCGGGAAGTGGTTAACTGCTGTGCTAGGCTTCTGATGTGTCCTGCTCCTTTAAGGAGGAATGGGCTACCTCCAGACATACCTGCCTGCAACTTATCAATTTCTCTATATGCTCAAACATGGAGGCCCTCATAGACTAGAGTTAGGGACCACACTTTACAGAGGGGCCTTGATGAGGGACTGCTGCTTCCACATATATTTGCAAATGTTGTGCAACTAAACGTTTTGAGGAAAATTGTTAAACTAGAAAATCAGCAAAATATTCCTATTCAAAATAGTGGACATGTAAATACATATGCCTATTTGTTTATGCAGCGTTCGTTTTCTATCATTCCTACAATATTAAATTTGCTCAGAAGATGAATTTGGCAATATTAAATTTGCCTGGAAATGAATTTGGCAATACATTCAGAATTCTAAAATTTAGATATGTGAGCACCATAGTAGGGTATTCACTATATTATAAGCTTCTGCTTTTCCCTTCACTGTAGTCAGAAAACAAACCCTCTTGAGCAATATATATAATGACTCTAATTCTTCCTTCCCTAATGTTTTGTGTTTTCCTCTATCTCTTTAGCTTCTTCCAGCGCATTAATGGCTTTTCCTTTTGTATCTGACCTAATGCTGTCTAACAAATTGCTTAACTCATCTTCTCTAATTGTGCTAATTCCTTTGCCTGAACATGTTAAGGCCTATAACAGCTAAATATACTACTATAGATTCTAGCTATTTCCACCAGTCAAATTTAGATGTGGCTATTTCTTTGTAAAATTTGTACTATGAAAAGCTAAGGGCTCAACAGTACATTCAATTGTACTTAGAATCATAAGGCTAGTAGATCTCTTATTACTGGTAATGTTGCTAAATTCTACCATCAACCTATACAGCTTTGTACTTTATAGGAAGAAGCCATTGTTCGCATATAAGTTATAGGCATGAATCTGTCTAGTTGCGATTTGCCAGATTCTGTTTGAAATTTGTTGAACCCATGTTATGTGGCAAATCCGATTAAAGTATAACTGCAGGATTTTTTTTAATTGTCAGATCCCCTCCATATGAAAAATGACTATTCTCCACTTACCCTCTCCACACTCCAGAGCTGTCCCTGGCTTTCTAATTGGTCCATCGCTGGCGGTCCTCTTAGGGTAGAACGACAGTTTGATCTTTCTGCCCATTTCCTGGAAGCCCAGCCTGTTGTCTGCATGCCCCTTCAGGGGGAGTGTTACTCATAAAGTCTGGGCTTATTTATGGGGTCTCCAATTAAAGCCTATGGGGAGCAAATACTGTTAGTAAATGCTGGTCGATTTAAGGCTACTACTGTAAAAAAAAGTATCCTTTGGACACAGCTGGTCACAGATTGAGTTAAAGGGTCAATCACAGTGGCCCTTTACCATGTGATCAGCTGTGTTCAATCACAGCTGATCATATTTAAACAAATGTCGGTTATCGGCATCTCCTTTCTTCAGCGCTGTCACATTTACACTGATAACCAGGGCACCAGGGGCGGACTGACCATTTGGAAACTCGGGCACTGCCCGAGGGCCTGGGGTCAGTAGGGGCCCCATGAGATACCTCTGGTAGCTTTTTCATACGCTTTTTTGAGTTTGGGCAAAGTCACAGGGGCCCCATGATCCCCTATTGCCCGGGGCCCCATGAGTTGTCAGTCCGTCCCTGCAGGGCACTCATCATCAGTGCCCTAATTATTAGTGCAGCCCCATCAGTTCCAGTAAGTGTCCATCAGTGCCCATCAGTGCAGCATATCAGTGCCCATCAGTTCCTCTTTATTAGTGCAGCCTCTTCAATGCCTCCTCATCAGCACAGCTTATCAGTGCCCACCAGTGCCGACTCTTCAGTGCCCATCAATGCTGCCTCAACAGTTCAGCCTCTTCTGTGCAACCTCATCAGTGCCCATCAGTGCAGCCTTATTAATGTCCATCAGTGCAACCTCATTAGTGCCCATCAGTGCAGCCTTATTAGTGCCTATTAGTGCAGCCTGTCAGTACCCATCAGTGCAGCCTAACTAAGAAAAACATTTTTTCTTCAATCTTTTAACATTTTCCGTTTGTTCAGCAAAAAAAATGAAAAACAAATACCACCAAAAGAAAGCTCTATCTGTCTAAAAAAAAAAGATAAAAGATTTCATATGTGTACAGTGTTGCATGACCGTCATTCAAAGTGCCACAGTACTGAAAGCTAACAATTGGCCTGGGCAGGAAATGGGTGAAAGTGCCCAATATTAAAGTGGTTAAAGTGTTACTAAACCCAGGACCCTGCCTTCACTATATCTGGTCTCCCACAGTATACAGAACATGGAATGCAATTATTTTAGTAAATATAAACTGCTAAATACCTTTTCTCATCAGCAGTTAGAGCAGTCTTGTGACTTCTATCCATGTCCAGCCCAGCACCAGCTAAAGCTTGTAGGAGGAGTTTTCTTTCTGCTCTAGGAGGATGGAAAACCCCTGACCTCTGTCTGGACAGTGCTGATTGGCCCTGTGCTGATCACATGCACTCTCCCAAGCAAAAAAAACAACCTCTCTAGCAATACACACCAAACTGAGCTTGTGCAAAATGCCTACAGTTCAGTCTGTCTTATCAGGAGATAAAAGGTGGTTGCTTGAAAAAGGGGAGGAACAGAGAAGA